TTTTGAGTGGCGTCATGGGAATATTCAATGCTTATCGGGGATGGATCTTTCTAGCTATGATTTCATTAGTATTTCCGATGGCAAATTTGTACCTATCTCTGTAAAGCCGGCTAGTTTAGCACGGCTAGGCCATGTCAATTTGTGCAATGAGTAGAGAAGCTAATTTAGAGTGGTTACAAAAGAGGGTACAAGAATATCGGTCTACAAAGAACGATATTGGTGAAACTATTGAAGATTTTGATAAAGTGGAGAAGCTTGGACAAGGGTTTACATCGGCCGATCCATTGAAAGAAGTAGATATAGGTAATGGAACTAAACCAAGGCCGACTTTTGTAAACAAAAATATGAGAGCCGATTATAAGGTTAAGATAATCAAGCTACTCAAAGAGTATGTTGATTGCTTTGCATGGAAGTATCATGAGATGCCGGGTCTTAGCCGTGAGCTTGTTGAGCATCGGCTTCCAATTAAACCGGGTTTTAGGCCTTATAAGCAACCACCTCGTCATTTTAATCCTTTGCTATATGACCGAGTCAAAGAGGAGATTGATCGGTTGTTGAAGGCGGGGTTTATTAGGCCATGCCGTTATGCGGAGTGGGTTTCTAGCATAGTCTCGGTGGAGAAGAAGGGGAGTGGTAAGATTAGAGTTTGCATAGACTTTAGAGATTTAAATAAAGCTACTCCCAAAGATGAATATCCTATGCCTATAGCCGACATGATGATCAATGATGCCTCGGGTCATAAGGTGATTAGTTTTTTAGATGGTAATGTCAGCTACAATCAAATCTTTATGGCGGAGGAAGATATGTACAAAACGGCTTTTAGGTGCCCGGGATTTGTTGGTTTGTTTGAGTGAGTTGTCATGACTTTTGGATTGAAGAACGCCGGTGCAACATATCAAAGGGCAATGAATTTGATCTTCCATGATTTACTAGGTATTATCTTAGAAATCTACATTGATGATATTGTTGTCAAATCAGATGGTATGGAGGGACATATAGCCGATTTGAGGTTAGCTTTTGAGAGGATGCGCCAGTATGGTTTGAAGATGAACCCACTTAAATGTGCTTTTGGTGTGTCGGCGGGGAGATTCTTAGGATTCATGGTGCATGAGAGAGGAGTTGAGATTTACCCTAAGAAGATAGAAAAAATTCGTGATTTCAAAGCGCCGATATGTAAGAAGGAAGTTCAAAAGTTGCTAGGTATGGTGAATTATTTGAGAAGATTTATTTTTAACCTAGCGGGTAAAATCGATGCTTTTGTTCCTATACTTCATTTGAAGAAGGAAGCCGATTTTACTTGGGGGGCAAAACAACAAGAAGCGTTTGAGGAGTTGAAGAGGTATTTATCTACTCCACCCGTTGTGCGGGCGCCTAAAGCCGGAAAGCCTATTCGGTTATATATTGCCTCTGAAGACAAAGTCATTGGTGCCGTTTTGACGCAAGAGGAAGATGGCAAGGTATATATTATTACATATTTGAGCCGCCATCTTTTGGATGCCGAAACGAGGTATGTCTTTATAGAAAGACTTTGTCTATGCTTATACTATGCTTGTACCAAATTGAGGCATTATTTGTTATCTAGTACATGCATAGTTGCTTGTCAAGCCGATGTTATTAAACACATGTTGCAAAGGCCAATTCTAAGTGGGAGAATTGGCAAGTGGGCATATGCTTTGATAAAATATGATTTGGCTTATGAACCATTGAAATCTATGAGAGGCCAAATTGCATGTGATTTTATAGTAGACCATCATGTAGATATTGCTTATGAGGAAGATGTTTGCCTAGTTGAAGTTATACCTTGGAAGATTTATTTTGATGGTTCTTCTTGTAAAGAAGGTCAAGGCATAGGGGTAGTTTTGTTTTCACCTAATGGCATGTGTTATGAAGCATCGGTTCGTTTGGAATATTATTGTACAAATAATCAAGCAGAATACAATGCTTTATTATTCGACTTACAAGTCATGGAGATGGTTGGAGCTAAGTACGTGGAAGCTTTTGGTGATTCGGAATTGGTGGTGCAACAAGTCGCCGAAGTTTATAAATGCTTGGACGGATCACTAAATAGGTACCTTGATTCATGTTTGGATATTATTGCCAATTTTGATAATTTTGCTATTAGGCATATTGCTAGGCATGATAATTCTAGAGCAAATGATTTGGCACAACAAGCATCTGGCTATGATGTGAAGAAGGGATTGTTTCTGCTATTTGAAGAGCCGATGCTTGATTTTAAATTTTTGTGCGAAATTGGCGAAATTGGAGACCAGGGGCGGTCTGACCGGCGTTGCGCGGCCGGTCTGACCGGTGACCAAGTGCAGTCTGACCGGCCACATGCCGCCGATCTGACCGGCGACCCCGGGCGATCTGACCGGCCTTGTATGGCCGGTCTGACTGGTTCTGGGCAGGGCGCTGGGGGGCATGCCACAATCAATTTAGAGGCCAAATTAATTGTGAATTCGGACATTTGTGCCCAGGAAACAGAAGAGGATTGGAGAATTCCATTGATTCGATATTTGAAAGATCCCACACTTAAGGTTGATTGGAAAATTCGGCGGCAAGCGTTCAAATACACATTGCTTGATGAAGATCTATATCGCCAAAATATAGATGATGTCTTGTTGAAGTGCCTAGATGAAGATCAATCTAAAGTGGCTATGGGAGAGGTACATGAAGGAATTTGTGGAACTCATCAATCGGCCCACAAGATGAATTGGTTGCTTAGGAGAGCGGAGTTCTATTGGCCGAGGATGATTGATGATTGCTTTAAATACTATAGGGGATGTGAAGCTTATCAACGGTTCTGCAATGTTCAATTGGCACCCGCCGCCGTGTTGAACCCTATAATCAAACCATGTCCGTTCCGAGGTTGGGCTTTAGATTTTATTGGTCAAATTTATCATTCGTCATCAAAGGGGCATAGGTTTGTGCTAGTTGCTATGGATTACTTCACCAAGTGGGCCGAAGTCGTGCCGCTGAAAAATATGACTCATACGGAGATAATTGACTTTATTTTGAAGCATATTATTCATAGATTCGGTATCCCGCAAACATTAACTATGGATCAAGGTGCTTGTTTTATGTCTAAGGAAATAAAGAGTTTTACCGAATCTTATGGTATTAAATTGTTGAGTTCTTCTCCTTACTACGCTCAGGCTAATGGATAAGCCAAGTCGAGTAATAAGACATTATTGAAGCTAATAAAAAAGAAGATTGAGGAGCACCCAAAGAGGTGGCATGAAGTGCTTTCCGAAGCATTGTGGGCGCATAGGATATCTAAACATGGTGCCACCAAAGTCACTCCTTTTGAGTTGGTTTATGGTCAAGAAGCCATTTTACCGGTTGAGGTAAATCTTGGTTCTCTTCGTTATATCAAGCAAGATGATTTGTCAGGTGAAGATTACAAGACATTGATGGGAGACAACCTTGATGAAGTCATCGATAAGCGCTTGAAGGCTTTGGAAGAGATAGAAAACGAGAAGAAGAGGGTGGCTAAGGCGTACAACAAAAGGGTGAAAGTAAAGTTGTTTCAAGTTGGAGACTTGGTTTGGAAGACAATTTTGTCTTTGGGTACTCGATTCAGGGAGTTCGGTAAGTGGTCTCCTAGTTGGGAAGGTCCTTATCGAGTATGCGGTATTATTCGAGGGAACGCATATTATTTGGAGACACTTCAAGGAAGCGTTTTCAGCGAGCAATCAACGGGAAATACTTGAAGAAATACTTCCCGAGCGTTTGGCAAAACGCTTAGGAGATACTATAGCCGGTAATTAAATTATTGTCCTAAGACCAAAAAACATTTTCTATGCTTTTAGATTCACGTTATTCATCAAAAAGGCAGAGGGGCATGTGTTTACACCCAAATTTGGCATCTAAGGTTAAAATAGGAAAGGTTGCCAAAATTTGGAAGTCTACCGGTTTCCTTCGAGTGGGCCGGTCTGACCGCCGTGTGTTGGGCGGTCAGACCGCCGGTTGAAGGCCGGTCAGACCGGCCCGCCGGTCTGACCGGCAGGTCCGAGTCCGACTGTGTTTCGTCGGGTCTCGAAATTTCCTTGCTCGGGAGGGCATGTTTCGGGTTTCCTTTGGTTTCTATCCCGAGTTGGACGTGGATGAGGGTCTGTAGAGGGCAAGACCAACCCCTATATAAGGGACATGGCCGGTTCTATTGTAAACAACCAATCTACAATCAATCAATAGAATCGTTTTTCATATTACTTTTAGTTTTCTCTTAGTTTGTCCATCTTTGTCGGTTTGCGCTGTAAACCGTCCGCCGCCGCTGCGAGAGTGCGACATCTCTTTGTAGGTTTGTCCTGAAAACCTTCCGTTTTGCCCACGAGACGGGTAGTTATCTAGAATCGGCTCCGCTAGCCAGTTTATTTGTCAAAACCCATCTAGGTTTAGCTCTTTGCTAGATCGAGGTGGTTGGCGACTTTAGGATCACCGCAAGGCATAAGGTGCTGCGATCGTTGTTGTCAACTTGTCACCAGAAGTTGCCAACACTGAGGCGAGGCTTACTCACGCTATGTGACTAGTGAGGTAAGCCTCTCTAAGATCCTAAAAATCTTGAATCTGAATTGTACAAACTAAAAATCCAAAACACCAAAAACCTTTTTATACTGGATCAGATGTTTTTTCTTTTTTTTAATTTAACGAGTGCTAACCCAAATTTAATGCACTTTAAAAATTGAAATATTCAGAATTAAATCCCAACGGAATCTAGCTAATTAAATTATTGGGAAGCCTATTTCAAATAATAAAATCTAATGTAAAACTATTTTCTCAAAATCCAATAGATATACCTCACTGTCAATCGATATGGATTTGTATGATTTTCTATTCTGTGAGAATTACTATTATCCCTACTATAAAAGAAAATGAAAATCACTATTATTCCTACAGAAATTCGTGATTAGACACATATCCGTGAGTGGGCTACAGAAAGCCCACTCACGCATATCAATCCATGAGGCATGAGCCCAACATAATAGGCCTCTGACTCCCTGACTCCTTTGGTCGGTCGATCTCCCGTCTCCCTCCTCGCGACTTCGCCCGCCGCGCCGACCAGCCGCCGATCCCCATCCCGGCGTGCGAGCAGCGCCGCCGCCGCCGCCGCCACCGTCCTGCTGCTTCCGCCGCCGCCACCGTCCTGCTGCTTCCGCCGCATCCTCTCCCCGCCGGTGAGCACTCCTCGGCACACCCCCTCTCCCATTTCTCTCTGCGCCCCCGTACTGATAGCAGTTTGTAAAAATTATTTTTGGGGGTTTCAGCTCAACCCTCCCCATGCCCCATGTTAGATCCGCCGCTGAAAGGGACAATGGCTCTGGTGGTGATGTCACCCCGGGAACTCCAAGCCCGACCCATGGTGCCCGTGTGAGGCAGCGGAAGCGCTCCAGCGATGTGAGTTTTTATTTTTTATTTTTTATTTCCCCTGTTGAGATATATATCTCATTCTTGGTGGCCTTATGTTTCTTGATTTTGTGAGTGGTGGACAATTCCATGAACTTTTTCTTTACAGGCTCCATCTGACGTGAACAAAACCAATGGCGCTAATTTGCTGCTAAATGACCAGAACAAGTACAAGTCAATGCTTATTCGCACGTATTCTTCGCTCTGGATGATGGCAGGATTTGTGTTTTTGATATACATGGGACATCTATACATATGGGCTATGGTTGTCGTTATCCAAATCTTTATGGCGAGTGAGCTCTTCAATCTGCTGAGGAAGGCCAACGAGGACAGGCAGCTTCCAGGGTTCAGACTACTTAACTGGTAAAAATGGCATGGTTAATTCTGACTATGAACATTTGAATGTTTACATGCCATTACAGATTCTTGTTTTCTTCGTGACAATTGCAGGCATTTCTTCTTCACTGCGATGCTTTTTGCGTATGGCCGTTTCCTTAGTCGGCAGCTTGTCAACACGGTGACTTCAGACAAGTTATTGTACAAGCTTGTGAGTGGCTTGATCAAGTACCAAATGTTTATTTGCTACTTTCTTTATATAGCAGGTAATAACAACAGTTCATTCTTTGGCCATGTTATATTAATGACAATTAGATATGGTTGAACACTGCATGGCTACTGTAAACCTTAGTTTTCACAGTTAGCTGATTGGTTTTGGGATGAATTAAAGATGTTTAATCAAAGTTTTTAGGAGGTTGTGCCTTGTGAGTACTTAAAATGCACTATTATTTTCATGTCATACCTACAGATGAAATGCTAGAGTTCACTGGTATAGCGGAAATAGCACATTTTTTTTTCATGTCATAATTTCACTAGTATAGTGGAAATGCATAAACTTATTGATATATAGATGAGTCCATTGCACCATTGATAAAATTTTAACTACGTGCTGCCAATATATCAATTTGGTTATTACTTCTGTCATACAGGGTTTGTATGGTTTATTCTCACTCTAAAGAAAAAGGCGTACAAGTATCAATTCAGTCAATATGCATGGACTCACATGATCCTATTGATGGTATTTGCACAGTCATCTTTCACTGTGGCCAATATATATGAAGGAATGTTTTGGTAAAGTCTCTAACCGACAGAATGTTCTAATCTTTAGGATCATAAAAATGCGCATTTTCAGCCTTAGTACTGTAGGCTTAGAATATCCTTTTCTTATTTCAATTTGTAGTCATTAGTGGTTCTGCTCACAAATGTATTTCATGTAATGACCTTCATGAGATTTGCAGCAGAATACGAATATACTACTAGTTTAAGGAGTTTTTAAGACTGAAGGATCAAAGTGATATTACAATGCTCTAATAATTTAATACTACCTTTGTCCCATAATATAAGGGATACTAGGTTTCTTTCGATAGCCTATGGACGAAGGACAGAGACTATAGTGTTCCTCATTAAATGAGGGCATGCGAGGTGTGGGAGGGTCGTTGGGGGTAAGATGAGAACAAAGTTAAATGAGGGGTGATTTATGAGACATGCAATACTCTAAAAAAATCCGATTGTACATTGGGACAGAATATGAATCCTTCAATCACTTATATTATGGGACGCAGGAGTACTGAAGAAACACCCTGTCATGCTTAAAATTTAGCATATTTCATTTGAATGCAGCATTGAAGTAACTTGTATCAAGAAGAAGCTGTGACACCATAGCTTACAAAATACATACTATTCCAAGCTGTTCTATACAGGCAGGAATTTACATTGTCTCGTTTTGTGTAAAAGGTTTTAATCTGGAGGTGCTATGGTCGTAACATTGTATTTATGTGCTAGCCCTAACCTGTCTAAATTCTCCATGTGGGACTAATAGCCTGTGTGTTGCAACGGGAAAAATAAATGAGTTTCTACCTTATTATGTCGAGTAAGCACACATTTAGTCCAAGTAGTGCTTTTATGATTTTGCTTATTGAACAAGTAGGTGATTTTGAAATTTGGGGAGAGCCTGCAGTGAAACAGGAGAGGACTCATTGGATGGTAGGGGCTGACTAATGGGACCGATTTGTCAGATCGGTGGTGGTGGTGTTTGTATAGATTGGGTCCTAATGTCAGTGGAAGGTGTGGTGTGGCAGAACGACCACCACCACTACTAACATTTTGAGTAAAAATAAGTATAGATATTCCATTTATAATATATTTTCTGATAACATGCCATGAAATCATTATGTGCTTGCACTCTTTCAGAACTACAATACTGCTGTTTATGCAGCCTTTTGGCATATCCAAGTGACAAATGCAAGGCTGACATAAAAATGGTGCTTATTTTAGGTTCCTCCTACCAGCTTCTTTGATCGCTATCAACGATGTTGCTGCATATTTCTTCGGCTTCTTCTTTGGGAAAACACCCTTAATTAAGCTCTCTCCAAAAAAAACTTGGGAGGGCTTTCTAGGTGCATCAGTGACTACCATGCTTTCTGCATTTGTGGTTAGTAGCACTTGTCTACCCATATATCCTTCAATCGTAGAGGTCTCAGTTTCTCATTGTTGGTAACTAATTCAGTATCTCGTTCAGAATAGAATTCTGAGTATCTTTTCTACCATCTGACAACAATCGGTTCTGTTCAAATGGTTTCTTAAAAAAATAAACAAAGTCTCAAACATACTGGTTATGGTTTGATAGATGCTCCAACACACTATACTATAATTGATATACTGCTTGTCATATTAGTTTACAAAATCATGGCCAGTGTTGGAACAAAAAAGATGCAATGCCATGATTCATCATGCTGTGCAGGCATAGTTCTTGAAACTTGAAAGCAGAAGGCATATGCACACTCTGTAATAAATTTTATTAGTCACTTAAGTGTGAAGTGTAATGAATTACTGATGCTACAATATTTTCTGGCACAACTTCACACTGCATCTTTTATAGTACCTTTTGGATTTTTCACATCTAAATATGGTCGATGTGCTGAAACAGTTCAATTGATAATAATTTATTGCTGGTTTTCTTTTGTAGCTTGCTAATTTCATGGGTCATTTCCAGTGGTTAACATGCCCCAGAAAGGTAAAGCTCCTACCTTGACATTGATTAGCCTTTTTCTCAAAGAGAATTGCATACATACTGTTGTAATTTGCACAGGCAGGATCAAAATCTTTCATGAATAGCACTACTGTCTCTTACTGTTGCATTTTTCGTTTGAAATAATTTCTTTTCTGTAACCATGACCATGTGATAGGATTGAAATATCCTATGTCTCAATGTATAGTCTAATCAGACCAAAAGAACACAACTGAGTAACCAAAATTCTCTAGCTCCCTTCCCTATCCTTCCTCTTTGTGGTGGTACATGGTAATTTGCATTCTCCCTGCCATCCAATCAGTTATGCATTTCCTTCAAGCACAGATCAAAGTGCAACTGTCCTTAACTGAACGGAATTGTCGCAACTCAAGAACCGTAGGCCACTGAAAAAATGAAAACTAATACCAAAGACAGGCATTACAAAATTGTCGCAGCTCAAGACCGAGAAACTTGTGCAAAACAACACAATAGAACAACCAATAACTCAGAAACTGACCAGTAAGGTGTGAGCAATGAAGAGATGTCATTGCTGTCATGGCACTTGTTGCTTGTTGTGATAGCCCTCGCTGCCACTTGTTGCTGCTTATGGGCTGCAGATGGTGGAAGGTGATGCAGGTAGTGGCAGATGAGCGACTTGATACACCATGCTAGCTGTAGGGGTTACCCTGGCTACCCATGGTGGGCATTTTAATCCGAGTAGAATCTGCATCAGGTTGGGATTGGTTGGGCGGTGTAAAATGTAATATATTCTGAGGCATTGTAGTGGGCATGGGAGGAATTGGGCAAGATGTGGGTGGTGGTGGTGGGCTTGGTGACTCAGGGGAGTGGAAGAAGTTAGTCGATGCGGAAGGGGAATATGTCCAGTATGGTGACAGTAGCGGTATTTCTGCAAAAAAATTAGCTCACTCTTTGGTATGGAACAGAAGTGCAAAATTTTCAGTTCTATTACTTGGTTTTAAGCCTCTCAGTAATGTAGATGCAATTTTATATTTTTCGAAGCAAGGTTGGAATCTACTTCAATCTTTGTTAATCCTGTTATCTACAGGATTTGTCGACTGGATGGCTTCATTGTGATCCTGGCTCTATATTTACACCAGAAAGTTATGATTTACCAGGATGGGTAAGAAAGCATTTTGATGTTTCTTATAAGTGAACCGGAGTTCTCATTCCATGTCTTCTAGTCCTTGTGCCATCCAGCCTTTTTGTCATCCTTTCTATTTTGCAGATCCCTTGGCGAGAAGTGGCAATTATGCCTATTCAGTGGCATGCCTTAGCTCTTGGCTTGTTTGCTTCAATAATAGCACCATTTGGAGGGTTTTTCGCTAGTGGTTTTAAAAGAGCTTTCAAATTCAAGGTACGCATCTATTATCTTTTGGAAAAAAAATATTTCAATATCGAAATCTTATTCAGTGTATACTTTTCAGGATTTTGGTGATAGCATACCTGGCCATGGTGGATTTACTGACAGGATGGATTGTCAAGTAAGTTACTTTTTAAGTTAATTTTTTTCTGAAGGCTGTTTATAATGGTGTCTTTCAGATGAGTAAACCTCTGTATACCTGCTAGTGCTCTCGTAGTATATACTCTCGGGCTCTGTGCAATGCTTTCCATGTTTGATCAAATCATCATTAATTACTCTGTTCTGCAATTTTACTTGCATAAAAAATACTAGGCATTATTTTGTTCATCACTTGGGCTCTCCTGCGATTCCAACTTACTGTAAGATTTTGTTCATTTTGTCTTTGTTAGAGTTAAAAACATAAGTACCATATTATTGAGCTTGAGATCATGTTCTTCATTCTTACATTACAGCTCACGACGGCTGAATGGTTTTATCTCATTTGACGTTCTAATCATTGACATCTTGCAGATGGTTATGGCTGTGTTTGCTTATATCTATTACCAATCGTTTGTGATGGTACAGGACTTATCTGTTGAGACAATCATGGAGCAGGTACTTTTGACTCCTTTCGACTTGCATTATATCATTGTGAATTAAATGTAACCTGACCCTTAATGCATTTATGTAATGCAGATACTGAGAAATCTCACGTTCGAGGAGCAGCATGATCTTTACGAGCAACTAGGCAAGTTACTGACGAGAGGGAACTGATGCTAACATAGAGACATCATGCACGAAATCAACAGGACTATGTGCATTGTTTTTTTTACTTTTAGATCATCATGTACAGCCCTAACACCCTAAAAACAAAAGAATGATAACGCTTAGGATTGTTTTTTTTTTCCTCGATCGATGTAAGGGTATGATGTTTTCCGAGTATACAGGAGTTTGTTCTTGCCTTCTCTTTGTATTTTTCTTTCGGTTTTCATCTTTGTGGCTGCATGAGAAGGCAAATGAAGGCCCAGTAGCAAACTAGCAGCCATGACATTTTTTTTTTCTTTCTTGTCGTCGATGGGTTCTTGACTTCTTGTACTTTGTAGAACGATATTAATCCCATTATTTCCTTGCTTTATGGGTGCACTAACCTACCTATATTGTTTATTTCGATGGTTTAGCCAAGTCATATGTTATAATGTTAGTTCCATTATCTATATGTCATTTGAATGTTTAGTTTAGGCAGCATTGTGTACCGAATCCCAAGTTCATGCTTTCAGTAAAAATCCCGGCTCGTGGAGCCTTTTCTCTTAAAAAAGTATTGAATGTTTGCTTTCCAAAGTTGGGCAATTTCAGCAGATCATTTCCTTTGATTAAATGGAGCACGGTTCTTTTCGTTCATTTAAAGATATATAAATTGCAAGCGGCCGCTACGGTTTTCTTCGTTTATTTAAAGGACCAGCGATAAATAATTCTTGTGGTAACTTCAAAATTCAGTGTGTACGGCAGATTATACACACATCACAGTTGTGTCGGCAGTATATGGACTTGTGAGGTGTGTAATCTAGCACATAGATTATTTGTAAAACGTCCATTTCAATACACAAACTTTACTTATACAGTGTGTATGAAATAAGGTCAAAAAATACCATATGATAGCTTAGCTTAATTACTGCGGTAGACGGTGATTATGAGACCATGTACACAACTGACACCAGTGGAGAACTGATATTTTCTCGTGGTATCCAAAATTACAATTGTCCCGGTTAGATTAAAAACCGGTACTGAAGATGTTCCAAGTCCCTCGAAACATTTTTAGTCCGTGTTGACTAAAAATTGATTTTTAGTTCTGATTGGTAACATCAACCCAAACTAAAGATTGAGGATCTGTAGTACCGGTTGGTGTTATTAATCGGAAATAAAAATTGATCTTTAGTCCCGATTTGTATCACCAACCCGGACTAAAGATGCCTCTAGGGTTAGTTCAAAAGAAAAACATATCTATTCAAGTTAGATATATGTAGTAGATACGGTGGTTACGCACGTGAGAGTTGAGATGGGAGGGCTTGAGTTTGAATCCTATATCTCACATATATTTTTCATTTGTTATGGAACTTTAGTATCGATTCTCTCGATCGATCTTTAGTCCCAATTTGCTCGTTGGAGAGCTTGAGTTCGAATCCTATATCTCACATATATTTTTCATTTGCTATGGAACTTTAGTACCGATTCTCTTGACCGATCTTTAGTCCCAATTTGCTTGTCCCGTTTGCTATCATCGGGAGTAAAAACCGTTTCTCGTGAGGAAAGCATTGTTAGGATCCCACCCCGAGCCTGTCTCTGCTCAAATGGATACGGGTCTATTCAACCATCCACCTAGCCAAAACACAAGCAAGCTCATGGTAAAAAAAAAAAAAAGATAATTGAACCAGCAACAGCGGTGGTGATATGTTTCTGGCTTAGAACTTATCAATCTTCTTCTTTTTCTTCCTAAGTAGCTTATATCCCCTACTTTAATTTTCACTGCTAAACCTGAGAGTGCTTACACAGTTACAGTTCAATCCCATTGCTTATACTGGATATTGGTTTATTGAGATCTGGGTGTTGGCTGCTTACAAGCACATGGCATATGTCATATCAAATAATTTCTTCATTTTTATTTATTTTTTCCGTCTCCAGTCTATATCCTCACATTATTACTATCTTTTTATATAAAATATTTTCTATTCTACAAACAATGTTTTATTCTATGGTTGATTGAACACGGATATGCATACATGGCACACTCTTCACGAATTTATCTAATTATCCACATGAATTGTTATCGGCATAGTTCATACAAACTACAGAAATTCATATATTGGAACGAGCATGTTATAACTCACAAATTATATCCACCTCACAAATTCGTATAGTGCCAATAAAGTAAGTTAATTACTCATCTAAATTTATATAGTGTTCGCCATATGTTCTCTCTTAATTAAGGTCGACTTTTTGTTCGTCCTTATTGTGGCTGTCTACAGCATCACCTTTAGTGCGTGGCAGCAACGACTGGTCTGTTGTTCTAATTCAAGTATTCAACCGTATACAATTGGTTCTATATGTCCAAGATTCTGCACTGACTTTGCTATGCTAGATAAAGGTCCACAACTTCAATTAATACAAGACAATGATGCGCGGAAGTGGGCTGTCGGATTTCGAAGCCTAGACACAACTACAAAATGACCTTAACCCTTTAAAATTTGACCTGCTAAACTGTTCCAACAGGAGGAGTTATATTGGTATAAACGGACTAAAACTAAAGACACTAAAATATCTCTTGAAAAGGTACAAGGTTATGGTTGCTTTAATATACAGATTCTCAACCAGTAGAATATGGCCGTCCTAGAAAGTCTCTCAAGTCGTTAATCATTTTAATAGCTTGGGAACTTCGGTACGAAAGAAACGCTAGAATTTTCAGACAACTTGGTTCCACGCCTGCCACCATCATCGCCAAAATAAAAGAGGAGTCGCGGACCTGGGTCATGGCAGGCAGGAGCTATAAAGCTCACAGAGATCATCCCTGCAAGAGAGTAGGCGGTATTGCTCTTCTTTTGCGGGCCAGCTGTTTTGCCGGACCCTGTATATTCTGAGTCCCTTGTTTTGTGAATTTATTTTTACTCTTTCTCTATCAATATAAAAGTGGCAAAGCTTTTGTCCTTCCCTTCAAAAAAGAAACTTACCTTTGAAATTGTTTTATCAACTACTATCGAGGGCTATTTGGATATCTGGAAGTCCAGGTTACTAAGACTACAAAATCACTGGTTATGTCGAAATAAGTCATGAAGAACTATGTCAGTCATTTTCCATTTCCATTTAAAATGATAGTAAAAAAGCACACATTATTACTATTTTCATTTCAACTCAGACATAAAACTACTAAGCTTCATTTACACTTCCATTCCATCCAATCAGCAGCTCACTAGTTTAATTGCTAGCTGGACACTAGACTTCAGGCGCAGGAGAAATGATGTGTGAGTTAATTGTATAAGAGTGACTATAGTGGAGGAATTTTTATAAGGTGCTGATTCTAAACCCGATTTAACGGAACTAATAAGGGTAATCATTGGTGCCGATTTTAACAAAGCACCAATGACACCTCAATTGGTTTCTAGAACTGGCACCCCTCACCTATAGGGGTGTACCTATTTTTTTACTTCCATTTTTTAGACATGAAAATAAGCCAAAAAAATATTTTGTATTTCGCCAGAGTATACACGGTCACACTTTGATTCCCATAACTGCTAGCTGGACACAAGAGATAACTTTAGGCGCAGAGAAATAATGTGTGAGTTAACTGTTCAATAATGACTATATTAGAGGAATTTTTATATGGTGCTGATTCTAAACCCCATTTTTTAAACCGACAAGAATATATCATAAGTAATATGGGGGAGTTATTGGCGCCGATTTCAAAAAGCACCAGTGACACCTGAACTGGCACATGTAACAACAGGGGTGTACCCTTTTTTATTTTTTAGGCGTGAAAAGCTGATTTTTTTTATTTTGCTAGTCATGTATACACGGTCACACTTCGGTTCCCATAACTCAAAAGATTTTTTACATAATATTTGAGCGCATGTGGTTTGTAAGACACCCCCATTGGTGTCTACAACCGACACCTATAGGGGATGTACATGTTTTTTATTTTTAGGTGTGAAAAATAGACCAAAAAATTATTTTGTATTTCACTAGGTAGGTAGCCATACATGGTCACACTTCAGTTCACACAACTCATAAAATTTTTCACGCAATATTCACACGTATGTGATTTGCAAGATTTGAATTCAGATTTCTCTCTTCACCCAAAGCCTAGTTACCATCTTACCTAGCTAACACTTGTTGTCTTGCAAGCAAATACTTATTCTTTGAAGAACAATCTCATCCAAAACTCATCATACATATTTAGCACCATTATGAGCTCAAATGCAGATCTCCTACTTCAATTTTCACCGCTAAACCTGAGAGTACTTACACAGTTGCAGCTCAATCTCAATCTCCATTGCTTGTATTGAATATTGGTTTATTGAGATTTGACACTAGAACGGATACTCTCATCTCAATCGGGTGGTAAGCCCCATCTCAATCGGGCACAGCGTCCGTCACAGGCTAGAAGTCACTGATGTGAAGAGTTATCTCAATCGGACAAACGGCCGTCAGGGATGAATCTATCTCAATCGGGCCCTAAGTAAAGCCCGTCACCGATAGCTTTGACCCAGACAACCAGTCAAACTATAGTCCGTCACAGATGACCTATCTCAATCGGGCCACAATTAACACCCGTCACAGATGACTACTAACCTCAATCGGGCCTAAACTAGAGCCCGTCACAGATGATACTCATCTCAATCGGGCTTAAACTAGAGCCCGTCACAGATGACTGCTGACCTCAATCGGGCCTAAACTAGAGCCCGTCACAGATGACTGCTGACCTCAATCGGGCCTAAACTAGAGCCCGTCACAGATAACTACTGACCTTAATCGGGCCTAAAGTAGAGCCCGTCACAGATGACTATCATCTCAATCAGGCATTTAGTTATGGCCCGTCATAGATGACTATAATCTACATAAAAAAAATAAATTTTGTTTTTTTGGCTAGCCTCAGGCCTTTGCTAGCCATGCCCGCTGCAGAAATGGCAGAAACAAACACATATATCCAATATCCCCAGCTCCCCAGCATCACCCATTCATATACATATGCATTCACATACACAGACATCAATATATTTCACACAACCACACATTCACAGCCATCTTATATTTCACATCCATTCACATATTTCACATCCATTCAAATATTTATCATATTTCACCTGCAAAACCGAGTTAATTGGATCAAATATTTATTTAGCAAGTCCTAACATAAACATATGAAATATATACATAAATATAAGCATCACAGTTACATCATCACAGTTGCATAATAAGTGTTCATCATTGCCTAAACATAAAAGTTCAACATTGTTCATCATTTTAGTTTAAGCCTAAACATTCCTTTGGGGTTAATTATTTCGCGGAGGATGAAGCTGGCTATCTCCTCGCGAACCTCCTCAAAGCTGGTAGGCAGAGACTTGGTTATTGTGCCCTACATTGTCATAATTCCAGATTAGTTGAT